GTAAAGGGCCAGTTGGTAAATATTTCAGGCTTGGTGGGCCACATGGTCTCTGTTGTAGCTACATGGCTCAGCTATCACAGTATGAAAACAGTCTGAAATAAAATGTGAACAAATGGACATGTCTGAGTTCTAATAAAACTTTATTTACACAACCAGGTGGTGGAGAGCTGGATTGGAACTGGGCCATAAGTTTGCTGATCTCTGACCTCGAATAATGCATAGTAACCTGACTTAAGAATTATCTATTAGGAGGAAGCCAGAACTGATGAGGAATAGTCAAGGTCATTTTTCTCTTTATCCGTATTGTTAGATTTTGCTTGTATATTGAGAATGTATTCATGAATTACTTGTATAATTAAAAACACATTTAAAAGAATAATAATAATTACAATAACAATTAAAAGTGATTTCACTTGCCACTTAAAGCAGCAATACTCTGATTTGCCAAATTTTTCTAAGATCTTCCCAATATGCATCCCATGAAGCAAACTTCCTGCCCCGAAAATAATGGGGCATTGTTCACCTCTCAGCTGTCCTGGGCACATCGAAGTATGACAGCCCAGAGCCTGCAGAGCTGAAGGACAAAGAACACTGTGGCGGAATCACACTCTGCAAAGCTCATGGAGCAACCAACCTCTCCAGTAAATGAGGACAAGCTGCCCTGTGTTATGTTTCCTTTTCAAATATTTTTTTTACATCAAAAACACATTGCAGGGTAGTGAAGACTTCACAGGCATCCTACAAAAACAGGCTGCATAATTCTGATATTGAGAGCCAGCCTAGTTTTAATTAACTGCCAGTACTCAGCCACATCCTCAAGCCTCAGATAGCCAATAACAATCTTGTAATTTCTAAATGTGAATGCCACTCAGGTGGAGACCAAATAGTGAGGGTTTCAGCTTACCTCTTAAAATGTAAACATGAAATTTCAGATATCCATAGCAACCAGACCTCCCTCCACCTTAGACACCTTCTCAAAAAAAAAAGGGGGGGGACAGGGGGAGGAAAAAGCATTTCTGTGGTGGGTGGCATGTAGACAGTTGCCTATTAAAACGATAACACTGAAATAGAAACAGCCAAACCTTTCATCATTTATTGACAAACGACTTACAAGACTGCTAGTGAAATCCTTTAAAAACCTTTTCAGACATGTTGGAAATTAAGACATCAGCAGCAAGTGAAATTGACAAGTAATTACAATTAATGCCACCACAATCATTAGTAAAACACATTTGGCTATATATTTGTATGGCAATAGTTAACAGCAAAACAGAATCCTAGGAACACCACCATGTCCAAAAGCTATCTGATTTTTACTAATTTAGCAACCGGCCAGACTAAAGTAAAATAAAGAAATCATGCACTGGGAAACTGAAGCCTCTTGATTCTGAAAAACCTTGCCAGCTCTGGATATTGGGAGCCCTGAGTCATCGCTCATTTCCAAGGGTGAGAAATCAGGTCTGTCTTTCCAGAATTCACGAATTTAACATTTCTATCTAGTCACCATTTCCTTGGAAAGTGTTTTTTTTTTCTTTTTTTTTTTTTAAATGTTTATTTATTTTGAGAGAGAGTGCAAACTGGGTGGGGTGGGGGGCAGAGAAAGAGGGAAAGAGAGAATCCCAAGCAGGCTCCACACTGTCAGCACAGAGCCCAACATGGAGCTCAAACTCATAAACTGTGAGATCATGACTTGAGCCAAAATCAGAGTTGAACACTTAACTGACTGAACCACCCAGGCACCCCTGGAAAGTGGTTTTTAAAAGCCAGTTGTTAAAATTCAATTCAGTTCACAAATTAGTTATTTTCTAGTGTAACATCAGCAGTAGAATGGAAAACTAAAGGCTACATTCATGTAGCAGGCCAATGGGAAAAATGAGAAGTGGGAGAAACAGGCTTCCATTTATGGAATGAGGAAGTCATGAGGATAACAGGTACCACATAGGAAATACAGTCAATATACTGTAATAGTGTTGCATGTGATAGATGGTAGTTCTACCTGTGGTGAGCACAGCATACTGTATACACTTGTTGAATCACTATGTTGCACACTGAAAACATTGTGTGTCAACTATAAATAAATGGTATATTCATACAGTAGAATACTATATAGCCATGAAAGTAAATGAACTACAACTATACGTGAGAATGAGTTTCTTTCTTTTTTTTTTTAAGTAGGCTTTGTGCCCATTGTGGAGCCTAATGTGGGCCCAGAACCCATGACCCCGAGATCCAGACCTGAGCTGAGATCGAGTCAGACACCCAACTGACTGAGCCACCCAGGTGCCCCAAGAATGAATGGATATCAAATATAATGTTAAAAGAAAGATGCCAGCCATGAACGAATACATACCGTAAGATCACATGTGTAGAAAGGTCAGTACCAGGCTAAATGACAATGTTAGAGAGTGCGAGAGCAGTTACTCGTGGTGGGAGCGAGGCTGACGGTGGACTTCTGTGGTTTTCCCAATAGGCTCCTGATACTTCTAATACCTGATCTGCAGGCTGCTTGCATGGAGATGTTCACTTTGTAAAAAAAATCAAACTGTGTTCTCCCAATTTGAGTACTTTTATGTACGCTTATTCTACTTTCAAAGAATTAGTGAACAACAAAAACCCCAATACAACAATCATTGAGTAGCAGAGGTGCCAAGCACATGCTGACCTAGGATAAATATGATCATCTTTATCTTCCAGAAACTTAGAGAAAGAAAGCGTGGGGGAGATGAATTTAAAAAGCAAAACTGCATGATTTTAACATGGCACAGGCTATTAAGGAGTTAAGTAGAGGCACCACTGGAGTAGTATCTTGTGTCCACAGTGTGGGGGAAGTCTACAGAGGGCAACACTGAGCCATGCCTTGAGTGGTGAGTTCAGCAAGCACAGAGTAAAGGAAAGGGGCATTCTAGGCCTGAGCACTGTGGGAGCTAAGGGCCTGGCAGAATGGAAGAGCGGGATGCATACAGCTTTAGGAAATGAAAATCACCCACCTAGGGGTGGGCCTTGACAATTTCAAAGCACTCATCTTGATGTATCTGCTGAGTACGGCACTGTTTTCTCAAAGAGCACTTTATTCATATCCAATTGCAAGGCTCTCATCTTCAAAGAAGTACCTCTAAACACAGTTGAATCAACTATGCAACACCAGTGAGTTTGGGGGAGAGAAGAAGAGAGGGGGAAAAACAAGAGCCAGGATGCTAACAGGAGCACTCATGACCAGCGCAACAGCAGCAGCGGCCATGACCACCATTTATGCTTCATACTTGATATGCATTGTTGTATTTTACCCTCAAGATACAAAATTTTATTCTAGGAACTTGGAACGATGGTTATGTCCGTTTGGCAGATGCCAAAACTGAGGCTTAGTGAAGCCCAAGGCCATATGGTTGTAAACACCGGAGTCACAGTTGGGAACCCGGGGATCTAACTCTGAGGCTGGCCTAGTCAACAGCCACACTGAGCTGCACGTTGCCCTCGGGTGTTTGGCATCAGCTCTCTCCTTGCAGCCTGTGCACCAGTCAAATCGCCTTGGAAGGCAGGCTCAAGCCAGTCACCAATCCACCAAAGTCAGGACAGCAGCTTCTCAGGCCTTACGACTTCTGAGTGGTGACCAAGTGACCACTCTGGAGATACTGGGACAAGCTAATGGACTATATCCTTCCCACACTCTCTAGTTCCACCCTTCCCAGCTGAAGGGAAGAGTCGATCTCAGTGTTGCTAATTCTGCTTCCCGGGCAGAACAGCAGGGAGACACAGAAGATGTGGCTGTCCACCCCTGTTTCAGGCTAAGAGCGGCCTCCAGGCGCTTCTCACCGCCCACTGTTCTCATTCTGAAAGGTCCGTAAATCTCGTAGCACCTGGAAAATGTGCTTGTTGAACAGAGGTGCTTTAAAAGGTGAGGTATATGGAATAGTTCAGGTCTGAGCCATACTGAGCAAATACCTGGGGTGGGGGTGGGGGTGGGGGTACAGGGGGCAGAGATTATCAGGAGACCAGAAATGAGGACTTGGCATCCTTTTGCTGAAGCGACAATTGGACATTGGGGGACAGGAAGGACAGGGAAGGGATGCAGCGCCATCTGGGAAATGTCTTCAATGAAATGTATGCTATTCTGAGGGAGGAGGCAAGGGGGCATTCAGTTGGAAGGCAGAAAGCTTTGTTTTCTAAGTCAGACTCTCCGTTTTATTTGTCCTAGCTGTTTATCCCACAGTGAAGGGTCTGACAGCGAACGGCTCAAACCACGTTAAATGTGGCCGACAGGGCCCAGGCTTCCACCCCGCCCTACCACACAGCCCTGCTGCTATTTCAGGCCTTGGGTTCTATAAAATAGATGCCGCTGCCCTCCATCCTGGGTTGTGTGAAATTATGCGGTGGTTTGGTGAAGTCAACAAATAACTAGAATGAACCACATTTGGGGGAATAAAAAAGCAGCTGGCATCAGTTCTGGTCTTCAAAAAGCAGAAAATAAGGATAGCTATCCTCTGTTGCCTCTTATCTGAAAGTTGAGTTTTTAAAAACTTTTTATTGGGAAATGATTTCAAATGAATGGATAAGTTGCAAAAATAAAAACAAAACAAAGAACACACATATACCCTTTACCCAGACCCATCTGTTATTAATATTTTGTCCCATTTACTGTATCATTTGTACTCTCTTTTTCCTCCATTCCCTCACGCCCCTCCCCCCCATACTTCTTCGTGTATTTCTTAATTCCTGGAACCTACTCGCAAATGACAACAGGACAGCTACGAACTTCAGTAAATTGAACACTGCTGTAATATTTTCAACTAATCTATCATTCATATGCAGTTTTGAAAGTTAGACCAATAATGCCTTCCAGCCCAGTACAAATGCTACCTCTGCCATGATCCGATCCCTAACATTTTTCTCTCCTTTTGTGACACTTGTTTAGCACTTAGATTTACTTCCCTTGTGACTATTATTATGTCACAGTGCCTTGCACTGTACGACCATTTACCTCTTCCACTAGACTGTAAGTTTCTTAAAGGCAGGGCAAATATCTCTTGGATGAATTGCCAGGTGTATGCATGTGTACATATATACTAATATTAATGGATATAGAGTTAAGTAACTTGTATTAGATGTTTTAAGACTTCCATGATATCATCTTTGAAAATGAATAGCTTTTCCCTCAGCCCAGGAAGATTTACATACTGTACCATAAGAACCTTGAAGAGGCACTCTGAAACCCACAACAGTCTTTGCTCATGAGGTGAGGTGAGTTTGTTGAGATATGTTTATAAAAATTTCATAGTTCTGTCAATATTTTGGGCATATGAGAAGATGGGTTACAATCTCAAAGCACCATCATAACTGAGAGACATAGTTTGAACAACACAGTCTATATCTAGCTATGTACTGGACATGAAAATATATACATGAAAAGATAGTATGGCAAGGGCTATCTATATTGAAAGTGGTGAGGGGTGCATCTTCATGATTATAAAAGACCAAGGGTCAACAAGGTAGCTATTAAAGTAACTATGAGACAGAAAAGTTGGTTTAAATCACAATGTAATTTCTTATATCCCTCACTTGCATTTTACCCTCTTTACAATTTTATGTACCTTTTATTCATCTAACCACATACAGAGGGGTAAGAAAAACTAGAACATCCTCAAAAAGAGTTTCAGAAAACTGTCCATGAAGCCACAGCTGTTCTACCTTTTCAAACAGAAGGAATAAATAGGGTTCTTTTTACCTCCCCCCCAATTCTATCATCCAGGGATAACTACCATTAATACTTTGGTATAATCATTTCAGTCCTCCCTATACATATGTATAAAACAGATATTATTTTATCAGGATCAGATCATATTCACTTACATTCTTTGTAAGCTGTTTATTCTGTAATATGTTTTATTTTATGTTTTCACTTAAAAGTATATCATAACCTGCTATTTTTAATAGCTACATAGTGCTCCATTGTATGGATATATCCTCATGTATGTAACTAGTCCCCTAGCAATAGATGTATCTGTATTTTTTATTCTGTGATTGGAATATAAAAAAAGAAGCTACTTTTAGTTTTAGTTCTAGTTTACAGAAGGTAGTAAATAAGGATAGGTGTCTTCTGTTGCCTCTTACCTGAGAGATGGATTTTTAAAAACCTTTATTGGGAAATGATTTCAAGTTAACAGATAAGTTGCAAAAATAAAAATAGAACAAAGAACATCCATTACCCTTTACCCAGATCCATCTATTGTGAATATTTTTAACAATGCTGCAATAAGAATTCTTGTAGTTTTAGTCATATCTTTTTTCTCATTCTTAATGACTTCCCTCAGGAATAATTCCTAGAAATGAAATCACTCAGTGTGTACAATTTTAAAGCTTATGATGATAAGTATTGCCAAGCTGCCTTTCAGCAATATTGTGACAATTTTAGATGACGTAGCAATGCCAGAGAGAGCCTTTTCACCGGTTACCTTTGCCAACACTGGGCATTATCTTTGACAATTAATTATATGAAACATGGTCCCTTGTTTAAATGTGGATTTCTTTGATTTAGACATCAGGTGAAGCATTAAATAGCTGAATTGGAAATTCGCAGTCTCCTTTTGAGAGTTTGGGGCCATAAATATTTAAAAAGGTAAAAAGAAAAACTAAAGAAGATAAAACAAAATTTAAAGCATTATTTTAAATCCAGTAAAATGTAATTCCACTCTACGTAATAAAACAGGCATAAGAAGAAACAAGGAACGTTGGTTCCAAGTTTAAGCACAATGTCACTTGAGAAGACAGCTCTTACTCCGCACCTATGAAGGATCAGATCATTTTGTAAAGTGCCTGTCAAATTTTGGCTATTTTCTATTTTCTAGATAGCTGAATGTTAAAAATCAATAGAAATGTTACAGCATTCATGCCGCCTTTTACAAGGGTTAGACGGACTCATGCCCACAACTTTCAAAGCCATTTCTGTTTAGAATCTTGAGAAGGAACCTATTCCAAACTTCCAGAATCACAGCTGGCAGGCTATAATTTAGAGTTGCATACAGGATAATGTGTATTAGTCCATTACCAAGCTGTAAGTTGACACCAACCTTTGGAATTGCTTTCTCAGAGGAAATGTTGAAGAGCCAATGCCTCAATCATTTCCAACAGGGCTGGGAAAAACATTCAGACAACCCATTAGATCCTTTCATCTCACATTTTGATGATTTTCATCAAAAGGGAGGTGGAAAGGGGATGATTAGACACAAATTTTCACTCTGGTGAAAATCCAAACGTGTATTTTTAAGCTCTAGACATTGATAACATATTGGCAAGTTCTTGTCCCCACTTACGTGAACCATACAGCCACCCAGAATATCCTAATGGTAATGAACACGTTCAGAAAGAGGGGATGGTGAGCAGATACTAAAGCAAATACTGCAATCCAAATTTGACAAGCAAAGGGCATTTTTGTGAATACCAACAGAAGCCCAAGTCCCCAAGGATCAGGTTTGAGATTTTTAGTTGCCAAAGTCTCTGCTGAATTGCATTATAGCTGCGAGATGAGAGGGTTGTTCTTTAGTGATCTGTAAGAGTCTACAGCAGTTATACAGGTCTGGCTGAGGCCGCATTAGAGTCAGGTGAGGAACTCAGGGAGAGCCCACTTCAGGGCAGGTCAGAAATGTAGGCTCCATCCCTGCCCAACAGTCTAGGTTGCTTCTGCCACAAATCAGGAGAAGCCAGAAACTCTGGCTTCGGCCACTACAAGCTGACCACTGTGCAGCACCAGCTTTCCTGATCACCCAGATCCAAGCTTTGTCTATGAACAAACAGAACCTGATAGAAATCTAAGCTTCCCATCAAAATAAGTGAAAAAAAATTTCCCCATTCTCATCAAAAGCAGAAAAAACACTGTCTAGTATATAGACCAGCCCTGTTCAATGTAAATATAATGTGAGCCATATATGTAGTTTATAGTTTTCTTGTAGCCACATTTAAAAAATAAAAAGAAAAGATGAAATTAATTTTATTTTATTTTTTTATGATTTATTTATTTCAGAGACAGAGAGAGTGACAGAGACAGCATGAGCAGGGGAGGGTCAGAGAGAGAGGGAGATACAGAATCTGAAGCAGGCTCCAGGCTCTGAGCTAGCTGTCAGCACACAGCCTGACACAGGGCTCGAACCCATGAACCATGAGATCATGACCTGAGCCAAAGTCAGATGCTTAACCAACTGAGCCACCCAGGCACCCCATGATGAAATTAATTTTAATGATATATTCTATTTGACCTAATATGTCTGTCCAACATATTATAATTTCAATATATAACGAATATAAAAATCATTGAGATAGCTTCCGTTTTTTCCACTCTAAGTCTCCAAAACCCAGTAAGTATTTTATTTTTACAATGCATGTCTGTTCTTGCTTCAGCAGCACATATACTAAAATTGGAACGATACAATGAGTGTCAATTTGGACTAGCAACATTTCAAGTGCTCTACAGCCCCATGTACCTTTCATAAGGAACACAGAGATTAAAAGGTGGATCAGCACTACCAAAGCAATATAAGGACAATTCAAGGTGTAAAACACAGCACACTATCTCCTGACCCCTATACTGCATAAACCCAGCAATGCAGAGAAACTTGGAGAGATGCCCTGTGAATCATCCATTCAGTGACCACGTGTGCTTTCTCACAGGTTTGATGACACTGCATTCCAGTGAGGAAAACTGTTCTCAACAATAGCCCCCAAATGTAAAGCCATACGCCTCCCCTGCTCTCCCTTGACAAACAATGCCTCTGTAAAGAAGTGCCCAATGTAAAGAACATATACAATTGTATCCGTGCCATCATGGTGCCAATTCCTGAAAGCCATCACTCCAACATTAAGCTCCTTGAAGTGACTGTCATGCAGGGAGGGCTTGAATTTTAAAAATGTATTAGTAAGTACTACTTCATTATAATTTCCCCCTTCACTCAAATGCCATTTGTACGATGAAGTCATATAATTTCCATATGTGTGCATTTTGTTCAAAGCAATTAAAAAATGATGAGCAGGTATTATGAAGAAGTTTAAATTGCTTCCCCATAATGACATACCATTGTTTTAACTGTGTAGAGAACTCCTCAAAATAAGCTATAAAATTTTGCTATCCCACAAAAATGATTCTTCAAGCACAGTCTTCCTCCATATAACACAACCTATAATTTAGCAATAATAATAACACTTTACAAGTGGATGGTCCTTTACTGTTTACAAAGCATGGTTTATACAGTCTCATTAAGCTTCACAAGAAACCTTGTGAGGCATGGATGGCAAAATACAAGTTCTTTGTCACTGGCTTTCCTCCAACATTTTACTTCCTTTGGGCACACTGACTATTTGCCAGGTCAATGTAGGGGGTCTCTCTGGGGTTTTTTTGTTTGTTTGTTTTGGTTTGGTTTTTTAAATACTATCAAAGAATCTTTCAGGTTGCTTGACAAACCACGTCCTAATGGTCATTTAGTTTTCACAATGAATAAGTCAATGTTCTTGTCCTACTCAATCCTGGTCAAATAAATTCTACTAGCCAAAGAAATTCCCTTATAATTCAGTTAATTCTCATTTTTTAAAAATGGTAGGCTGAAGTTTGACCCAAAGACTGTTCAGCCAAGCCTCTGAACAATAACTTCCTATTGCCCAACCCCATCAAGAATAAGAGTGTGAAAATAAAAGGTCCCTGAAGAAATTAAAACTTGCACGTCAAAAGACAGACTTCAGATTTTAAGAAAAATCTGCTATGAGACTAGAGTCAGGAGAGAGGTTTGACAGGAAGAAATAAGAAACTAAAATAGGAGTCTTGCAAAATGAGTGTGCTCAAAACCAGATAACTCAATGCTCATTTTCAGGGGAGTCTTGCAAAATGAGTGTGCTCAAAACCAGATAACTCAATGCTCATTTTCAGGGGGGTGGGGGGAAATATATATATATATGTGTGTGTATATATATACACATATATATTTATTTATTTATATATTTGTATTTATATATATATATATATATATATGAAATACATAAATCTACACCTAAAACCCAAGAAGATTGGAGGGAACATGTTTGTGCCCAGAATGAACAACAGACCAGTTGGCTGATTGTGTCAGCCTATGCTACTACCTATGTCCCAGCTCACTGCCTGACACACAGCCCCACTCCCCCAGCATGGAAACAGGAGGGAATGAGGAGAAGGACCTGACCTTCATGTGTGGCTTTTACTTTCTCTTATTTTAAATGCTACACAT